AATCTTTGAACTGTACTAGATGTAAAAAAGGAGCACTGGAATTAACAAACAAAGAAAGATCTTAGCCGTGTAAAGAAGTATGTTAGTCCGTAACAGAAGTGCTAAATTCCTAATAAAGCCTCCCAAAAATGACATATTCCTAAAAATTCATACCACTACTCTGAGGACCCATGATGGAAACTACGGCATAAGAAAGCCCGCATTCTGCAAGTTTAACTTCCTTCATGAACATATCCAGTCCAGCAACATTGAAATTTCCGTCCCCATCTATAAGGTGAGTTGAGCAACAACCATCGCTTTTATCTGGATAAATGTACAGCAATTGTATTAGCAAGAACTGTGGTGTTATTAGAACGGAACTCTTCACTACAGAAACCAATTAAATGCATTGTGGGCATCTGAGGTTGCTACCAATCAGAACAAGAATAAAGGAAACATCTCACAGTAGAAGAATCAAAAAATTGCTTCTGATTACCTTGTAGAATAATCAAAACATAAGGAAATGGTTCTCAGCAAAAGTGTTTTGACACTATCAAAACACATGGGGGATAGTAAATAAATTGGGTTGAAACAATTTATTTATTTTAAATTTTAAAAATAAATTAAGGAACTAGCCCTAACTGAATAAAGTAAAGAAATAAGATCAGTTGAATAGACAGATGATTCATTGTCAATTCTTCTCCACCATTTTGTGGGGTTCCAATATAATTAAAAATCAGATCATTTACATGACTCTTAACAACCAAGTCTTGAAGTCTCTTAGCAAACAACATGCATGAGCTCCAATCCAGTTAAAACCACGACACCAGAGCCAAGAAAACAGTGATTACGCCATTATATCAAATTCAAATCCAATGACAGCCGTATCAAAATCCAACCCAATAAAACCCTAAATCAATCCCAAAGTACCCGAATTCAAAGCACAACCCACTACTTAAACATAAATAGTTACCAATAAAGCAAAGCAGTTAAGAACCAAAATACAGAAAAAGTACATTGTAGCCCGTATGATAATAAAAATACAAGCAAATACGCTATAGAAAAAAATAAATTTACTCAGCCCTAGTCAATCATTTCTCATAAATAACAAGAAATCATTAAATTAGAGGTTTTTTCGATAAAATGAATTAACAGAAGTATTGAGGTTCAAATGGATCGCAGGCATACCCATATG